AAAGTAAGTTTCTATGTGATCCCAACAGATCATAAAAAAACAAAATATTTTTATAGAAGGTTAAGCTACTAACTTTATAGAAATGCAAAACACCAAAATAAGCGAAAACTCTTTAGTTTTAAGAAAAAGGTACAATTTTTCATTTTCTATTCTTGGTATAAATTTTAATTCTTTCCAGTGGAACCAAAACCTCCTGAACCCCTTCCAGTGTCATCCAAAACTTGAACTTCTTCTATTTCTGGATAAAAAATCCATTCACAAATGAGCTGCGCAATCCGATCACCTTTTTTTACTTCAAACTTTTCTTTGCCAAAATTAAACAGTACAACACCAACATTTCCTCTATAATCTTCATCTATGACACCAGCTCCTACATCTGTAAAATGTTTGGCAGCCAAGCCAGAATGTGGAGCTACTCTTCCATAACATCCAGAAGGAAGAGCTATCTGAATGTCTGTCTTCACAACAGTTTTCTCCATAGATGGTATTGTGTAATCATAGGCACTGTACAGGTCGTAGCCCACAGCCCGTGCAGACCCCCGGGTTGGGGCTGTGGCGTGCTCCAACAGCCGGGCAAAGCGGAGCTGCATGCTGCCCTCCTCCGCGGGCCGGGCCCGCTTGCTGGGGGACACGACAGTGATCTCTTCAGAGCAGGGCATGGCGGAGCAAGGAGTGCGAATAGAAAAGGGCAAAAGAGAGCATAGGATGTGCGCCCTCTGTTTTTTGTAATAAGTTTTTTATTCGTTTATTATCACTCTTTGATTATTTTTAATATATATTGCAAGTGTTTTCACTTCTGATGTCTGTTTGTAATATTTACATTATAGAAAATCTAGATTTAGAACTTTAAAAAAAATTGCTTCTAGCAAACATTTGTATCCCATTTTGGAAAGGCTTTCCCCATCTAAGGATTTTTTTTTCCTAGTTCTTCCATGGTTTAATTTTTATGTTTATTTCTTTGACCCAGATACCAACATTTTTAACTTGTCAGAATTAATTGTTAAATTCATTTGGTGAGAACTGGCAAGATAATTTTAAAAAAGAAAAATGAGGAGGGACTAAAATTAGTATTAGAAAGTTGTACAGTAAAAACAATGTAGTAATGTTATAAGAATGGAAAGAGAGTAGTGGACCAGACTAGAAAGCCCAGAAAGAGATTCAGTTATATAAAGGAGTAAGATTGTGATTAAAAAAAAATTGACATTATAGATAAATGGATGGGCAGAGTTAAACATAGAAGAAGTTAAATAAGATTCAGTATATTTTCTGATCTTGGGGCACAGAAGCTTTAAATGTAAAAGCAGACCAAGAATTTATAAAGAAAATTACAGGTATGAAAAATATATTTGCATTGTGCACCCACATTCATAACAGCATTATTGACAATAGCCAAAAGGTACAAACAACCCAGTGTCCATCATGGATGAGTAGATCAACAAAATTTGGTATATACATATAATGCAATATTATCTAGCTTTCAAAAGAAAAGAAATTGTGACATTTGCTACAACATGTGTCAAAACTTTGAAGTCATTATGCTAAGTGAAATAACCCAGTCACAAAAAGACAAATATGGTATGAATCCACTTATATGTAGAGCTTGTAGCTGGTTGGCTTAAAAAAGTAGCCTTTAGCAAGTATTGATACCTCCATGCAGCTCTTGGGACACAGAGGTTGAAGTACAAGCAGCCACCAAGATTGTTATACAAAGAATGGAAGAATACGAATAACTCTTTCTTAGCCACATGAAGATAACACCAACTATTTTCATTTATAAAGTGGCTGTACCTACCACTATGCATTTTTCCCCCAACCCCCAGCACTGTACGAGAATTCCAGTTTCTTCATATTCTCACCAACACTTGATCTTCTTAGTCTCTTTTTTTTTTTTTTTCAACAGAGTCTCACTCTGTTGCCTGGGCTAGAGTGCTATGGCGTCAGCCTAGCTCACAGCAACCTCACACTCCTGGGCTCAAGCAATCCTACTGCCTCAGCCTCCCGAGCAGCTGGGACTACAGGCATGTGCCATCATGCCTGGCTAATTTTTTCTATATATATATTTTTAGTTGTCCAGATCATTTCTTTCTGTTTTTTAGTAGAGACGGGGGTCTCGCTCTTGCTCAGGCTGGTCTCGAACTCCTGACCTTGAAGCGATCCTCCCACCTCAGCCTCCCAGAGTACTAGGATTACAGGCGTGAGCCACCGTGCCTGGCCAGTTTTGTTGATCTTTTTAAAGAACTAGTTTTCAGTTTGATTGACTTTATTTTTTTGGTTTCGAGATACTCATGTTATCTTTCTAAAATTGTTTTAATTTCTTTATTGGCTGAGAATAAACTTTGGTTTTAATTATTTTAAATTTGTTAAAATTTGTTTTGTGACCCAGGATGTGGCCTATCTTGGGGACTATCCTATGTGCTCTTGAAAAGAATGAGTATTGTGCTGTTTTTGGGTAGATTTTTCTGTAAATGTCAATGAGATGTAATCAGTTGATGGCATTTTTCAGTTCTTCTATGGCCTTGCTGCTTCTCTGTCTTAGTGAGAGAGTAGTTAAAGCCTCCAACTGTAATTATGAATTTATCTGTTTTGTCCTGTCAGTTTTTGTTTCGTGTATTTTGAAACTCTGTTGTTGGTTGCATATGTATTTATGATTGGTATGTCTTAGTGAACTGACCTTTTTATCAGTATGTAATATGAACTGTCCCTCTTTGCTCTGAGGTCTATTTCATCTGTATTAACGTAGCCACTCAAGCTTTCTTTTGATTAGGGCTTGCATGACATCTTTTTCCAGTCTTTTATTTTAACCTACCTATTATTTGTGTTTTCTATTTTAGTCTTCTTTATTTTCTTTTCTCTTTTTTTTAAATTTTTAAAACAATCTTGACTCTTATTTATTAAAATATTCTTTTTTTTTTCCACTGCATAAGAGGGCAATAGAAAACCTACCTATTATTATATATTTGAAGTGAATTTCTTATTATTTTTTTTCCTCCTGGCAATCTCTATCTTTTGATTGGTATGCTTAAACCATTTGTATTTTATATAATTATTAATATATTTGGTTTAGATCTGTCATTTTATTATTTGTTTTTTGTTCCTTCTGTTTATTTCATTCCTCAATTTTTCTTTTCCTGCTTTCTATTAGGTTATTTGTATGTTTTTAAATATTCCGTTTTAATTATCTAGTGTGATTTTGATTATTTCCTTGTATAGTTTGTATAGTCGTTGCTCTAGTGATTACAATACACATCTTGGACCCAGAATAACTAAATGGTTAATATTTGTTGATTGAAGTAGTATTTTGAGATTCTAATTGTGATTTTTATTATGTTAGTGCTGAATGTTTTCTAAATAAAGTCACTGAAAAATGTCAGCTTTTCCTAACCTACAATCTATTTAATATAATATTCGCCTGTAGAGTTTTCCCCCAGAATATTCATGACTTGCTTTGCTTTATCTACAAAAGAGATAGTGTTTTATCTTCATAGTCTCACTTAGGCTGATGTTTGTAGATAGATATCATACAGCTCATTTTTGCTTTTGATTCAGTTTGTTTTTGTTTTTTATATGACTTGTAACTTTAACTCTGCAAGCTACACACATGGCTAGTTTTGAGGACAAGTGCTATGTTTAAATGATTCTGCTTTTATGGTACTAGTTGAAACAGTAGAATGGTCCCAAGGTGAACATTACCTCTTGGGTATGATGTCAGAAGAGTTTCTTAATTTCTTTCAAGTCCTTTTCTTCCCCTATAAAATGAAAGATTTGAATTATTTAAACTTTGCCATTTTTGGCTATATTTTCATTAATTTAATACAGTTTTGCTAATTTACAAATTAGTTCATTTAAAGGATTTTTGGTTTTGTTTCTGTCAAAACCAAACATTTAAAGCACCAATAGAACACTTTTTTTTACTAATACACTGTTCGAGATGTCTGAGTTTTAATAATTCACATAGATACTAGAATGACAGCTTACTTAGACCTGTGATACCCATTTATAGGAAATTTATAGCATGAAAGAGTTCAAAGTAAGCTGTCATTATGCTTGTTGCGGCCCAAGTAAAGTTGCCCTGTGCCAGCAGCTTCAGTCTTAGCCCAGTGCCATGCAATAGAGCTTTTTGTTATGCTGTAAATGTATATCTGCACTATATAGGACAGTAGCTACTTTGTTTGATTTTAATTAGTTTAAATTTAAATAGCCTCACGTAGCTAATAGTCATCAGGTAGCAACATAGGTCTAGCCTCGTAATTCCTCCTTTATACCTAAAACCCCATCTTGGAATTTTTTTCTGAATCTCTCAAGCATGAGCTTATCGTAATCATAAACTTCTGGGAAAGTCCTTGACCTCTTAAGTCAGCTTGCAAAGTAGGAGAAGGAAGGCTGAACAAATCGGCAAGAAAATGATGCATATAGTGACAATTATAGTATAATATGAGTATTATGTCAATGAATAGGTTGATAAATTGACTAAATGCCTGGGGATGTTCAGTGAAGGACAAGAAACTGCTCCAGGGATTTTAAGTAGGAAGGGTTTAATACAGAGAATTAGATGTTGTAAAATTACTATTCAAACCTAACAAATTCTTGGTTGGGTCTTCCGAAATGACTTCTAGACCAACATAGAACTACCAGGGAATCTGTTAGGAGCTCCCACCTCTGGATTCACTCTGGAAAGAGAACCGCTGCCAAACCGCTGCCACTGCTTCCACTTCCAGTGCTTTTGGATACCCAGAAAGCTGAAGATAATTACTAGTCTAGAGAAGGTGGAAAGAAATACATAAAAGTAATTCTTTTCAGTGACAAGCTGAGTCAATTTGAACAAGAGAACTAGAAGCTCAAATTGTTAAGTGAAAACTTACTTTAGGTTGGGATAGCCTCTCTGAGAAAATTACTTATAGAGACATAGAGAAAACAAAATTGCACTAATTGTGGTACATAAACTTTAAGTAGATTCTATTGTATATGTATACAAATAACCCTTATATATCCATTCTTTACAGATCCAGGATGAGAAGACTGATAAAAGAAGCTAGCTGAACAGCTATAAAATGCCCAAATCTGGTTTCACAAAACCAGTTCAGAGTGAAAATTCTGACAGTGACAGCAATATGGTAGAGAAACCATATGGAAGAAAGGTATATGATTATACTAAAGATTTGTCGACTCTTTAAACTGGAATAAGATTCCCAATTAAGCATTTTTTGTAATTTCTCACAAAATAAAAAGCAATATGGATACCAGATAAATTCAAACCATTTATCTAAGCCCTTTAGAAATAAATTGGATTCCTGGGGATATGATTGTTTTTCATTGCCTAAGGTAAACACAATTGCTAAGTAAAAATTACTAAGATTGCACAATTCCATAAGAAAGAATCATGGTGGGGTGGGGGGGGATCCAGGACTTCACAGTTATTTGACATTTCTTCCCCTCCTCCCTGACCCTCAATGACAAAACAAACATACACACTAGACGTTTCATTTTCCAGGTCTGTAACCTTGGATAAATTTATATAACTTCTCCAACCTCAGTGTCTCTTTCTCTGCAGTAGAGGACAATATGCCTTCTAGAATCGAACTGCTATGACAGTAAAATGGCGTGATAATTGTACTCAATACAATACCTGGTACATAGTAAGTGCTCAGTAAAGGTTAACAGTTTTATTATTAGTCATTGCCAGTGACCTGTGATTCTTTTTATATCTTTCTTCATTCCTATTTAATTTAAACCTTCAGAACCTTCATCTGGACTTAAGCAATGGCCTCACTATCCCTAGCCTTTCCTTATATAGTTAGTTTTATACATTATTTGTGAATTTTTCCCTTCTGTTTACTTTTTTGAAGTCTTTTTTTTAAGCCATTTTCTTAAGGATGTCTGAGATGTTTCTAGGTTTTAGATAATACAGTTGTGCAACCATTGTCACAATCCAGTTTTAGAACATTTCTATCACTGAAAAGATTCTTGTCCATTTGTAGTCAGTCCTCACTCCCACCCCAACTCCATAAATCTGCTTTCAAAACCAAGAATTGCGTGTTTTCAAACTGTGTTCTTTTCAAAATTGGGAATTTTAGGATCAGCTTGTAGTTTCTACAAAAATGTCCTCCGGGATTTTGATAGGAATTTCATTGAGTCTGTACCTTGAATCTTACATCATTTTGAGTAGTATTTGCCATCTTGATATTGTCTTCCAATCCATGAACATGGAATATCTCTCCGTTTATTTAGTTCTTCAGTTTTCCTCCACAATTCTTTGTAGTCTCCAGTGTACAAGTCTTGCACTTCTATTGTTAAATTATTCAAAACTATTTTATTCTTTTCAGTGCAAGTCAATAGTTTTTAATATATTTACAGAATTGTACAGTCATAACCACAATCAATTTTAGAACATTTTTATCCCAGTATACACTCTTGAGAGAAAGAGAAAGATACAAATAACATCTTAGTGTTATTATGAGCATACTGATCTTGCAGATTCCCTCACATGATCTCAGGGACCATAATTTGAGAACTTCTATACCACTATAATAAGCACATTAATGAAACTGTTGAGTGTACAGGAAGAAAAAAGAGAAGCAATCAGTGCTTCTTAGAGGTTCGGGGATGGCCTCAAAGTGAAATAGATACTTAATCTGGATTTTGAAAGAATAAGTATTTACAACCATCAGGAAAGTGAAAGTAAAGGGTAGTCTAAGCAAAAGAAACAACAGATAAACAAACATGAATCTGTCGCAGTAGTGCATACTGAGTAGGGATGTAGCCTATGAAGGATGGAGGATAGGAGATGAGTCTATAGCATTAAACAGGGGCCAGTTCATTATGGCCTTGTGTGCCTTGTCGAGGGTCTTCGAATTTATTCTGTGGTCAGTAAGATAGAAGGGAGGGGCCATTGAAGAGACCGCTTAGAGTGCTATTTTTAAAAATCCCAACAGAAGGAAGTATGGGCAGTGGCTTTGGGGATGGAAAGAAGTTGGAAGATTTAAAAGATGTTGAATGAATTAACCTTGTGTATAGATAAAAAGTAATCTGAGTCTACTGCGAGATTTCTGTTTTCAGTGTCTAGGTTAATGACTGAACTATTCCCCAAGAGAGAATTCAGGAGAAAGAACAAGAACTAGTTTGGTTTGTACTTGCTGAATTGAGTTTTGGCCATTGGGATATCCAAGGAGAAGTGTTTAGTAGGCAGTTAGGTATGAGTTTAAGAGTTCAAAACAGAAGTCTAGATTGGAAATAAATACATAAGGATTTGTAGAAAAGTAAGCTATGGACGTGGAGATGTTAACCAAAGAGAGTGTAGAAAGTGGGGCAAGAATGGTGGAGATTATACTCTGAGGAATTCAGATATTTTAGGAGAAGTCAAGTGACAGGGAGAGAGAAGGACCTAGAGAGAACCAAGGGAGATTCCACAGAGAAGAGTGCCTAAGGGAGAAGAGAATTTGTGGTGCCAAATGCCACACGGAGATTAATAGGACGGATGAGGCCATTGAGGCACCTAAGATGTCCTTGGTAAAAGTAGTTTCAGTGGACTTGTAGGGACAGAATACAATGTTAGATTTGAGGAAAGCATTAGAACTTTTATTTCTAAATGTTTATAGTGAAGGTTGCATTTGTGAAAATTCATCTGGGCTGCTTTGGGTTTGAATTTATAAGGCAAAACTTGTTGAACCTTTTATTTTTCCAAGGTACTTTGTATGTATCTTTTGAAAGCTGTCACTCAATAAATCATAAAAGTATGATTTCTTAAAAGCATAGGGAAAAAAGCAAAAAGCAAACACTTTCTACTAAAAGATTTCTATTAAAAATATTCCTTAGGTAAGTTAAAAATACTTGTTAATCATTAGATTTACAAAATAAACAGGAAGAATAATACAGACTATTCCTTATTTTATTAACTTTTGGCTTGCATAAAGGGCTAGATTTAACTATTCTCAATCTCTATTTAACCATACTATATTTTTTCAAGATCATGTTTGGGTAGCAATCAAAAGCTCTTCTAAGGCGGTGTGCATGGTACTTAATGCCATGCTTTGGGATTTCAGAGCAACTTTACATCAACAAATACTTCTGTTAGAAGTATTTTCCTCAGTTTTTAAATGAATATTAAACTGCTTATTTGTACCTTAAGAAAGGAAGGGCCATAATTTCCATTCCAAAGTTCCTACTTATAGACCATGTTGCTGCTGTTTAAGACTAAATGAAGAAATTAGAAGGAGAGGGGTGAGAGAAGGTATGACCATATTATTCATTTATATATTTGCAATTCATATTCTTTTGATTGTCTTTTCTTAATGATTGACTTTGAAGCCAGCTTCTGGGCTCTACTGAGTTTTTTCCCATAAAATATTTAGAAATGAACACACAGTTGTTACATAAATTAGAGACCTTATTTACAGTTTAGTATGATAGAATATTGGTGTTATGATATCCTAAATGAATAAAATAACCTGAGCCAGATGTGGGTGGTATACACCTGTAGTCCCAGCTAGTTAGGAGGCTGAGGCAGGAGGATCACTTGAACTCAAAGAGTTCCAGACCAGCCTGGGCAACATAGGAAGATCCTGTCTCTTAAAAAATTTTTTTTTAAATTAACCTCAACCAGGCTAGGTGCGGTGGCTCACGCCTGTAATCCTAGCACTCTGGGAGGCCAAGAGGGAGGATCGTTTGAGCTCAGGAGTTGGAGACCAGCCTGAGCAAGAGCGAGACCCTGTCTCTACTTAAAAAAAAAAAAAAAAACGTAGAAAGAAATTAGCTGGACAACTAAAAATATGTAGAAAAAATTAGCCAGGCATGGTGGCGCATGCTTGTAGTCCCAGCTACTCGGGAGGCTGAGGCAGGAGGATTGCTTGAGCCCAGGAGCTGGAGGTTGCTGTGAGCTAGGCTGACGCCATGGCACTCTAGCCTGGGGAACAGAGTGAGAATCTGTCTCAGAAAAAAAAAAAAAATTAACCTCAACCAAAATTTAACTCCTTAAATAGAGTATAATTTAAATAATAATTACATTCTATAGCAATTTACTTTCTATATAGTTATTTTCATTACCTCATTAAACATCACACTAGTTAGTTTCATCAAGCATATCCGCTCACAATTCTTCAACTATTTTACCCCTTCACTGCTAATCTGTGGTCTTTTCTCCCCATTGGTTTTAGTTTAGTCTAGAAATTTCTTTTTCCACTACTGCTTTTAGCTATAAATCAGTATATATAATTTTCAAAACAGAATCTTTTGTAAAACCTAATATGATAATCTGAAATTTGGGTTAAATTCATAAAGTGTGAGAGTGGATGTTAGTAATTTTAACTTTCTCAATAGTTTTGTTGTATCCTTTTCATCATCAATGTAGTTCAGACATTATTTCCTATCTAAGTGATTACTGAGAAATTTTTTCTTTTATTGTTGAAGAAATTTAATACATGTTCATTGTAGAAAAATTAGAAAATACATTTAAGAATAGTGAAAATCAAAATTACCTTGTCAAAATTGTGAAGGATCTGAGATTTTACCCTACTTGCAAACTAATCAGTTTCACAGATGCTGGCAGAAGACACAAGACTCCTGAGTCGGAGATAAAGCAATGTCTATTACACATAGCAATAGCAATAGCCAGAGTATGAGCCTTTGTGTCTGTTTTGAGCCTCATTTCTCACAAGAGGGATGTAAAGAAGGCCAGGTGACAGTTGCATATGCAGTGGGTTGCATTATAGGAGAGGAATCCCAAATCTTTTATTATGGACAGTAAGTCTACCTGACCTTTGCCATAGAAGGAGACATTTTTATCCTGAACAGTGAACAGACCTGCCCTTTGCTCCTAAGGGACACACTATCTCTATCCTCCAAGGCTGTTTTTATACAAGTATCCTGGAAAAGACAGTTCAGAACAGAGGAAATTAATGCCTCTGCTTGCAAAATGTGCAGATGTGCAAGAGAGATGTGGAGAATTATCTCCCAACATGCCTGTAATGCAACCACCCACAGATAGTTATTAACATTTTGGTTTATAGGTATAATGATTTTATTGTGCTCTTTACAAATTGAAAGTTAGTGGCAATTCTGCATCGAGGAACTCACTGAAGGCTGAGATGATCTTTAGCATATTTTAGCAATAAAATATTTTTAAATTAAGATATGTATATTCTAGATATAATGCTATTTCACACTTAGTAGACTACCATATAGTATAAACATAACTTTAATACGTACTGGGAAGCCAAAAATTTTGTTTGATTCACTTTATTACGATATTGTTTTATCATGGTAGTCTGGGATCAAAACCCACCGTATCTCCAGAGTATACCTGTATATCTTTGAAGAGTTTTCTCTTTACATTTATGTACTTGTATATACAGTCTTTCTTATTTTCTAGGTAAATTTCTATGTCTTATTTCTTTTTTCTATCTTACTGAGATGGTAAAGTATTAATACGTTGTTTAATAGCAGCAGTGATAGAAGGTCACTCTTGCCATTGATGTTTTCATTATTATGTATGGTTGTTGTTGCAAGTTCTTGAAAAAATAACATTAATTTAAATGAAAAAGACCTAAAAATATTTTAAAATAATAAACCCAACAGAGTTATAGACTTTTTAATGTCATAGATGGGGAAGAATGATGTGCGAATGATGCTGTCCTGAGAGTATTTCTGCCATTTGGTAATTGAGAAATCTCAAGACAATCAAAATGAAATATTTCGTTTGAGCGTTATTTTTCCCAGATCGGAAAATAATTTTTAAAGTGTTAAGAATTTCACTAAAATTATTTGTTCAAATAATACCTGTAAGGAACCATTTTATAGCAGTTATGAATAGTCGCACTAATCACCATATTACACAAGAGAACATGATTGATACATTCTTGTGAATGTTTTTCATTTAACATAGTGTCACGTTGGTTTCTTTTAACTGGTTTTATGGCACAGAATCTTTACTTACACAGTTGGCAAGGGAGAAGTGACATCTTCATGTTTTTCTTAGAGCTTGTATTCATAACAATGATTCATTTTCTAAGACAAGTTACTGGAGTGTTGTTGGTTAACCTTTGTATTAATTATGCATTTTTATTTTCTGTATTTTCATTTTTTTGAGGCAGGGTCTTGCACTATTGCCCAGGCTAGAGCACAGTGGTGTCATCATAGCTTTCTACAAGCTCAAACTCCCAGGCTCAAGTGATCCCCCTGCCTCAGCCTCAGCCTACCAAGTAACTGGGACTATAGGCATTCACTACCATGCCTGGCTAATTTTTTTATTTTCTGTATTTCTGATGCTTTGACATCTGGGCGTTTCTGACCCTTGAGAGACTATCCCTCCTAGAGCTAGCCAGTTCCTAGAGATAGTAAACAACCCACTTGTGAGCACACCTTTCATATGCAGACCAACTAATCCAGAGTCCACATCCCAGCCACCAACTTTGTCTACCTCTCATGCTCTGGGCCACTATCCCCCTTCTCTAATCACCCCAGACCTAAATGCCAGACAATTAGAGAAACAGCCCCTACACCCCAGAGCCTGCCAAAATTATTCAAGCTAGCCAGTCCTAAGACTGTATACTCTTCCTTACCCCTTCTTTCCTGTGAAAACCATGATAAAGGCTCTTGCTCACATTTCATCCTTCTCCCTCTACCTTCTAACCAACCCTGGTGCTTCCCCACATGGTCTGGTGTGGCATGACATGTCCCCCCACCTTTGGGAATTGTAATAAACTGTGTTTTCAATGGCAGTAATGTCCCGATTTGTTAGCCTCACCATACCTGAATAATAATAAGACCTACATTTTAAAACAACCTTGTAAGCAAACAATTCTCTGTCTTGTGCTCCTTTAATATCAGTTTTATTTTAGACTTGTAAAATAGATTGGGTAGCTTTTAATCTTCTTTCTACATATTTCTATAGAATTGTTCATATAAAATGGAAAATATCTGTTCTTTCAATTTTTTGTTAAAACTCTGTTGTAAAATCTTCTGGGGTAGGTGCCTTTTTAAATATAAAATCTTCCACTGTGGTCGTTGGTCTATTCAGGTTTGTTTTCTATGGTCATTGGTCTATTCAGGTTTTCTCCTCCTTTCATGAGCCAATTTTTAGAAATGTGTGTTTTCCAAGAAAATTATTCATTTTCCAGCCTTTATGTTTTTTAATGGTATAAAAATGCTGTATTTTTTTTAACTTATTAATAATATCCCTTCTGGAGTTGTATTCAGGCTTAGTCCCAGCCTTTATTCTCGTCTCTCTCATTTTCATGATTAGATTCGCCAAAAGTTTGTTTATTCAATTCTTTTACAATCACTTTTTGGTTTTATTGGTAGTCTGCTTTTTTTGGAGACAGTCTCGTTCTGTCACCCCAGTTAGAGTACAGGGGCATCATCCGTAGTTCACCGCAACCTCTAACTCCTGGGCTCAAGCGATCCTCCTGCCTCAGCCTCCCAAGTTGCTGAGGCTATAGGCATGTGCCACTGCGTCTGGCTAATTTTTCTATTTTTTGTAGCAACGGGGTCTCACTCTTGCTCAGGCTGGTCTCAAACTCCTGAACTCAAGTGATCCTCCCGCCTCGGCCTCCCGGAGTGCTAGGATTACAGGCATGAGCCACCTATCCCTGGCCCGATAGTCTACTTTTTTATAAAATTTAGCATTTTAATTTTTTCTGTCCCTTCTTCCTCCTCTCCTTCCTTTATTTTTCATCTTTGATTGAAAACAAGTATCTTTTATAGTCTAAATCTAATTGCTTCTGAGAATCTCTACAATTGTGCTAAATACTATTTATTATCATAACTTGGGGAATAATCTTTTAACGTCTCCTGCTCAAGTGTAATGTGGGTTGATTCTCAGTATCAAGCATTTTTTTTTTACAAAGGAGTTGTCACATCCCAATTTTAAATGTGCTGTATCAATTTGTATGTTGGACTATAGGAGTGAACTTTATAATGGCTATAGGCTACTTCACCTGACTGTGTGGGTACATAATATTTTCATTTGATATATTGTCCATTTTCCAAGTTGAAGAGAAATGTATCCTTGTTTCTCTGGTTTAAGAAATGGGGTGGTAATCTTTTACTGAACGAGTTAGAATATCCTTTAGTTCCTGAGATCACGTATATTTATTTCTTTATTGATAAAGAGCAGTGGTTTTCAAACTTTAGTGTGCATTGAAATCAACTGGAAGGACTGTTAAAACAGATGACTAGGCCCTACCCTCAGAGGTTTAGATTCAGTAGATTTGGGATAGAGCCTGAGAGTTTGCATTTCTAATAAGTTCCTGGGTGATGCTGATACTACTAGTCCAGAGATCATTTGAAAACTACTCATATAGATGATTATATTTTTTAAATAAAACACAATTTAATTCAGTCCAGAATTGCCTTTTCAGATTTATATATTTATTAGTGATACATCTAGATTATACTTAGACATATGTTTCTGTTATATTGGAGATATTTTACTTTGTTATTTGAAAATTCTGTAAATGAAAGTGGAAGAATATGAAACAAGTTAGAAAAAATGTAATTGTTGAAGCTGGGTCTTGAGTACATTGAATACAATGATGACTTACAATACTCTCTACTTTTGTGTATGTTTGAAATTTTCCTGAATAAAGAGGGTTTTTTTATACTATATTTCTTAGCTAATATTGATATATAACTTAATTCATATTTGATTTTTTAATAGAGTAAAGACAAGATTGCATCCTACAGCAAAACTCCAAAAATTGACCGAAACGATGTGGGCAAGGAGATGAAAGAGAAATCTATGAAACGTAAACTTCCTTTTTCCATTAGCCCATCAAGAAATGAGGAACGAGATTCAGACACAGGTAGAATAATTTGTTTTTTGGTAAAATCTTAATTATTTTACTGTGGTTTTCCTCTCCTGCAGCACTCCTCTTGACATCACATGCAATTTATAGAGAAATATTTGTATTTCATATTTATCATTTTGGGGCAGAAATTCATCTATTTGTCATCCAAATGTGATTTCTAACCATGGATAAAAACAATTTGCTATATTCTTTACTCTTTTAGTGTTTATATCTCTTACTACTTTCAGAACTTAATTTTTTGGGGAGCATTCAAGTGATAAGAATTTGCTCAGTGATAAACATTATGATATGGTAAATTTGAGAAAAAGTTGTTGAGTTTTTGCGAACATATTATTGGATACACCAAAGAAGTTTAGCCATTTTGGATTCAGAAATGAATTAGAAATATGTACCACACAAAAAAAATTAAGTCTAACTGCCTAAGTGCTAGTCATAGTACTTTCGTTTCTCAAAACTCTGATATACCAGAAATTTATACTTGAGATCAGTCAATCCCAATTAAATGAGAACTTTATTACTGCTATCTAATATTTTATTACTAAGGTATGTGTTAACCCTGAACTTCTTGAAACTAATATAAACTTGAATGTTTGTTGTAGTTGTTATATTCCTTGCAAGAAATAATTAATAATGTGAAATGTTCTTAAGAATGTTTTCCCTTCACTCACAGAAAGTGTTCCATTCTGAGTTTATTTACAGAGACTATATCCTACTTATATCTTTCTAGCCATTTTAATTATCAATATAGAAATGATCTTGACTCTGGAAACTGAAAATACTCTAAAGATTTTTGAAACACCCTATGCTAACATAGCTTTAGAAAATATATACTTAATTCGTGGTAGTATGCATTTTTAGTAGGTAGATCTCCTTTTGTGTATTTTGCTGTCTCTCAGCTTCAATTAGAAATTGTTCTTAAACACTCATGACATTTTTAAACTTTTGAAGGTTACTCTTTCTGAAAGTAAGAAATTATGTGCTTTGTTCATATTAAGCTACACTGGTTTATTCTAGAGATTCAGATTTTTTTTTTTCCCCCCAAAGCATGGCTCTCCTTATCCTTAAGCAATAATATTCTCAAGCTATTACCAGATCACTTATCTGAGAAGAAGATGCTTATGTGCCCTTAGATGTCTATTTAAGATTTAACTCTTCTCATATATTCTCCTTAGAAGTCCCTTTGCTAGTTATTTTTAAATTACTTACATTACTTGTGTTTTGTTTTCCAGTGATTTTGATATTTCTAATAGTAGTTTAAAGAAGGGATTTTGATAAATTCAAAGTGTTGGCATTTTTTAAGGAATAAATAAGATTTGAAAATAATAAACTTTGCATGAGAGTCTTTGTTATTAGATCAAGTGGATTATTTATCTTTTATTACAGTAAAATAAAGGAGAAAATGTTACTTAGGAAGACACATACTTTAGGCACTAAGTAAATATAATCTTCATATTTTAATAATTGGGTTATATACTTTTTTTTATTTCAGAATATTACAGGGGTACAAGGTTTAGGTTACATATATTGCCTTTGTACTGTCCAAGTCAGAGCTACAAGTGTGCCCATCCCCCAGTTTATTCTTGCTTTGGAGAAGTTATATGCTGTCACCAAACAAAATTTGGATGGATTTAAAACATACATAGTTGACTCTTGAACAGCATGGGGGTTGGAGCACCAGCGCCCCTTCGCCACAGTAAAACAATCTATGTATAACTTCTGGCTCCTCAAAAAGTGAACTACTGATAGCCTACTGTTGACTGGCAGCCTTGCTGATAACATAAAGTCAATTAACACATATTTTATATGTAATATGTATTAATATATATTGTATTCTTATAATGTAAGCTAGAGAAAACATTATTAAAAATCATAAGGAAGAGAAAATATATTTACTGTTCATTAAGTACAAATGGGCCGTGTGTGATGGGTCATGCCTGTAACCCTAGCACTCCGGGAGGCCAAGGAAGGAGGATCACTTGAGCTCAGGAGTTCGAGACTAGCTTGAACAAGAGCAAGAGACTCCATCTCTATCAAAAAGAGAAAAAATTAGCCAGGCAATTAAAATAGAAAAATAAGTCAGACATGGTGGCACATGCCTGGAGTCCCAGCTACTCAGGAGGCTGAGGCAGGAGGATTGCTTGAGCACAGGAGTTTGAGGTTGCTGTGAGCTAGGCTGACACCATGGCACTCTAGCCCCGGTAACAGAATGAGACTGTTTCCAGAAAAAAAAAAAAAAAAAAAAAAGGTAGAAGAGGATAGTTACGAAGGTTTTCATCATTGTCTTCACATAGAGTAGGCTGAGGAAGAGAGGATTTGGTCTTGCTGTCTCAGAGGTGTCAGAAGCAGAAGAAAATCCTCATATAACTTGACTCATGGAGTTTAAACCCATGTTGTTCAGGGGTCAACTGTATTTATATTTTCGGTAGGCCGAATTTATAAGTTTTAGTATATAATAGATTAAGACTTTGGTTTTACACACCATACACAGTAAAAACATTAAGAAGAATTTCCCTAG